CTTTAGGGAAAAGCCTTATGCAACTCACTCTCTAATTCTTCACCACCAGAGTCTGAAGAAGGATCACCATAAGCCTCGCTAGGTGTCAACCCCTCGATCTCTGCTCCAATCTTACGCTGCACTACACGCACGCCCTTCAAAAAATCTTTGATGAAGTCATCCTCCATGCACACTGCTTCTAAAACCTTCACCTCCACGTCATAGATATGATTGCGAGCTTCCCGAACATGATCCTCAACAATTATCTTGAAGGCAAAAGACTTCTTGAATTCTTCTATGATTGTAGACGATAGCTGCTGGGCTTTTTTCTCTGACAACATGCTCAAGAGCCTCTTATTCTCAATTTCAAGGATCTACTGATCTTTCATCTGCTGGTTGATTGTCGCTCGTGTGTCCACCAACTCTATATGTAAGTGATCCATCCGGTGACTTTAGACGATAGTTGCTGGGCTTCTTTCTCTGACAGCATGCTCTGGAGCCTCATATTCTCAGTTTTAAATATTTGCTGATCTTACATTTGCTAGTTGATCATCGCCTTTGCATCCACCAACTCTATATGTAGGCGATCCATCTGCTCATTCGGTGAGGAGGCTGAAGTTATCCTGTTTGTCAATTCTACTCTACACTCTGCCAACTGCTTCTCCACCGTCTGCATCTCTTTGACTTTACCATCGTATTTCTTATTGTATTCTCCTTGAAGGTATTTGACCTTTACAAATTTGTTGTTCCAATCATTCAAGGTCTTGGTCATCTTAAGCTTGAAATTCAAATGTTGCTCCAACTAAAGCAACAAAAATAAAACTTTGTAAGAGCCATATCCTTTGAAAAAAAAATACAAAATTAAAGAAGAAAAGGTGAACTCACCAATTCCTCAACCCATTGAAGACCAACAGACTGATGTTTTAAAACATATTCTGAATATATAACTTTGATGGAGATATATGAAAACCTTTACTATATCTTCAATAAATTTTTTGCTCCAATATGAAGGGGAACAGGTAACTCCTTCAACTTTCCCCCTTTTTTCTTAAAGATTCCAATCATTTTGCACATAAAAGAAGTTGATAATCCAACAATTCGATGGGTCTCGAGTACGAATATACAACCACTTGGATCTGAAAGAAATACGACCCTGCGTATCACTAATGAGATGCCCCATCCTTGAAAGGCATTCTGAAGGTATCACCACTCCACGATCTCTAAAAAGTATGACTAATCCCATTATGATCAATATGGCCCTGTAAGAAAGTTGAGAAAAACTCACTCCACAGATCATCAAAATATTAATCAATTTAGGAGATGGTGGAAACCGTGGCCCCACTCGCAAACTGAATTCATACACCATCATATATCCCGAGGGAGGAAAATGGGTGCGATCAGATATTGTCTGAACCTTCATCACCAGATCATTAGGAAAATGAATTTTTTTCCTAAAGGAGATGAAAGAATCATCAGTAATAGTGGAAATAACATCATCAGTCTTCGGCACCTTGTGAGTCTTCTTTGAACCATCAGATCGGTGCACATGATGATCTTCTTTAGCTGGAGGATTTCTTTCATATGTGTGATCACCTATTTCAACTTCAATATTAAAGAGGAGCGCTAAATTTGAGTAGGAAAAATCACCTACAAAAGATAACATAAAGCCTCTAAAGTAGAAAGAAAAATGGGGGAGAAAGAATGAAGAGGAGAGGAAACCTCCAAATTATGTACAAGATGAGGGGCACTGAGTTAAGTAGCGAAAATCACCTACTAAGAAACAGCGAAAAGCCTCAACTGTCAAAAAGCCAGAGGGAGAAGAGGAGAATGTACAGGTTTTTCTCTAGCCCTATGGGGGTATTTATAATTTTTTGGAGAGGGCAGAAGCTTCCAAAAATTTCTGAAATTTAAAAAAAAAATTCAAAATTTTTTAAAATTTTTTGAGATTTTTTTGAATTTTTATGAGTTGAAAAAGAAAAAAATACTAATTAATGGCTGGCGGTTTTCTTAACCGCCAGCATTAGGTAGCCAAGCGTCGTGCGCGGACTGGCCAGTCAGGCTGCGATCGGGCCGTCCATGAGGGCCAAGAAGGCCAAGAGGGCCACGGCGGGTCAACAGAGCAGGTCGCGGGCAAGTCAGCATTAGGCGGAGCCAAGCAGGTCACGGGCGGTCTGCTGCACGGGCCAGTAGGCCCTGTATATAGTTTCGCACTGCCAGCGGATGCGGCGGCGTTCTGCCGGTTTGGCTACCCACTCAATTCTGGGTCAAATTTTCACCTTAAAAATGCAAAATTGAAAATTTTTGGGGTCCGGGGACTGTTTTTCAACATTCCTGACTTAATTTCAACACTTTTAAAGCTATTTGGTGCTTCTATATGCAAGATTGGATTTTAAATCACATGAAAAGTTCTCCAAAGTCTGTGACAGCTATTTTCAGACTCATGGATATTCAACATCCAAAAATAGGGAGGCAACTGATACATCATCAAAAAATTTTCTTGATCGGGCACGAATCCTGAGACAAAATCAAGCCATAAACTTCAAAAATTAAATCTAAGATCACCAAAACTCCGATTTCAGAAAAATTATAGTCAAACCAAGCATCTCAGAAATACGAACCTAACGACACCAAATTCAACTCAATCCGAGCCCAAATGAGTCCAAATCAAGGACCTGAACTGCTGTTGGAAAGTTCGAACCACAATTTGAGTTACCAAACGGTTTCCGAACATAACGTGCTTATAGTCGAATCGAGCAGCTCGACGAGATGAATCCAACGAGCCCAAGATCGCCGAATTCCAACATCATTAAGACATTTAAATGTCTGACAAACGGTACAAGATCAAGGGATACAATATCGGCCGTCAATCCGAATCACTCCACCTTTGCCCTTGATCCTCCTCCTATTTACAGGCCATGCCACTCCACAAAATCTATAAATTGACCCCTCATTTATCTTGAGAGGGGACCCAAGAAAGAGTAAGAAGAGAAGAATGAGAAGAGAAGAGAAGAAGATTAGGAGGGAAGAACACCTCGACCACCGCCACCGGAATTCTGTACGAACGATGCCGGAATTCTGCCTGATATCCGAACGACGTCAGAATTCGGCTCGATTTCTGAAAGAAGGCCGGAATTCTGCCCAAACGACATCGAAATTTTGTTCGAGTGACATCTAAGTTCTGCTCGACGCCCGAGTGACGTCAGAGTTCTACTCAATGCCCAAGTGTCATCGGAACTTTGCCCGACATCGTAACTAGATTTCAATCTAAAAAGGGATTCATTGTAATCTGATTGTCCTAAATTTCAAGGAAGAGTTAGCATCTGGTATTTCAAACAAATACTAGTAGAACTCTTTCTACTAAGCGTGGCCCCGTGGTTTTTCCCCTTTAAGGGTTTTCCACGTAAAAATCCTGGTGTTTCTATTTCTCACATGTTTGCGCGCTAGATATCTGTACAATACTGAGATGAAATTTTCTAACTCTATCGCCGCGTATATTCTAGCCCCTAACAAGTATGAAGAGGGAGAATGGGAGATATAAAGTTCTTAGTTTAATATTAAAAAATATATATTTTTTTAAACAAATAATCATATTTTTAACTTTTTTTAAATTATTTAAATATATTACAAATAATTTTACTTTAAAATTTTTTATTTATTTAACTAAAATAAATATTGAAAACTAAAATAAATATTAAAAAAATTGGAGAAATAAATTAGATATTCTCCGACGGCGCTTCGTCAATATTTATTTAAATTATTTTTACAAATATCGTTATATTAACATTAGTTAATATATAATTAAAAAATGTTTTTACAAAGAATAATAACGATATATTTTTTAAAATTGAGTTATATTTATTTAATTTTTTTATTTAAATTGTTATAATAACGTTATAAATATACAATTTTTATAATAAAATTATTTTAAATATTGTCTTAGATATATTATACAAAAAATTTAATATTAGATATTTGATATATTATTAAAATTCTACTTAAAAATTTAAAATTAATTAAAACTTAATTAAATATTAAAAATAAAAAATTAAATTATTTAAACTTTAATTAATTTCCCTCTCTCTCTTAGTTTCTCTTAGCCTTCCTCTCATTCTCTCTATCTAAAAAGATTATTAAATTTAAAGTCCAACTCTCTCTTTTTATTTTCTCTTTGCTTGACATGACTATTCAATTCTCTCTCCATCTCTCAATTTGAAAACGAAGAGTTGCTTAGGGTGTATGATCCTTTTTAACTTTTTTTTTTAATTATGTTCCTTCTCCTAATTTAATCATTAATAATGATCTTTTTTAAAATATGCCCGTTTTACAAAATGTAGATATAGATAGGGGTCAAATCTAATATCCATAACTTGCATTCTTTGTTTTTTTTTAATTCAATTTTTTATTAATGTTGTGATTTTTATGGTATGGAAATATGTTTGATTTGACACAATTTATTTTTAAATTTTGAACACAACTAACACCTGAACCCTCCATGCCACAGCCACCACATCTTTAAACTTTACATAACGTCATAACCATCATTAATATCTCTTGTAACGTTTTTTTTTTTTGTCTAAATATCCATACATTACTAAGAAATTAAACACTCACTATAGCTATCATTATTATAAAACATAACAACAAAATATTAAAAATAAATTAAAATTATATCATACTTATCAGAATATATTCAATAATCCAAGATGAGAAATAGAAAAAATATATGATAGCATCCTCATCAGTAAGGTAATCAACATAATAAGTGTAGAAAAGTGCGTCATCTACACCGAGATAAGAAGTTCAGTAAGCATGCTTTATTTTCTAGCATACACATGATAACAGTCTGCTGATGGAAAAAATAATAATAATAATCCTACAATTTCATCAGTTAACGTAATCAATCACCCAGACCTATTCCAAAGTAAAGAAGACAAAATAAAAATAAAAAAATAAAAACACCCAGACCTAACCAGTGCAATTTGCACGGTTCTACGTTTTAACTATGCAAAAGCCATCAAAAGTGCATCTTTTACCAGTTTGTTTACATGAAATCTAATTGGGCACAGCTTTTAGGCTTTTCTGGGAAGAGTAGAGCTTCAATCAAACAGTCGCGTCGTTTTACAATAATGCAAAATTGAGAGCAAGAAATGGGCATAAATAAAAAAATGAAAATTTGTGCAAATCGCTGATTAAACAGCTTTAGTGAACAAATCAAATTTATCTTTAGCATAAGGACTACTAGGCAAAAAAATTTCACGATACAAACCTTGCTTTAACATTACAAAGCAATCATTTAACAGTAACCAAATACCCAAATAAGCTGGAATTTTCTCGAAGCTTAATTTATCTGCTTTTTGCAGATCATGCACAGAGGATGCTGAAGAACATGCGAAACTCATACAAGAAGTAGATATATAGGGGAATTTTGAGGCAATTATGGAGTTCTCAGCATGAGTTATCCCCAGTCGACAAAAGGGAGGGAAGGGTAACCACCTTCAGGAGGTCTCAAAGATGGAGGTAAGTGACCCCATGATATTCCCATGTGACCTACAGTCACATTTCCTATAAATATAACAAAATGTAGTCATCATCCCACCGAAATTCATTCAGATGCAAGTACAATTGTAATTACAAACTATCAGGAATAAACATGAAAAGAGAACAGAAGTTCAATTAACATTTGATTATTCTAACGTGACAAATTGGACACAAAAACTATAAAAAATGGCAGAGCTGAATTTGAGACCTGCTTAGAATAGTTGAAGGTAACTATGATTGAATCTACTTACTGCAGTTTTCTCATTTTTTCGGCTGATTATTATTTGGAAGAGATTCCAACATTAACTTCGCAACAAATACATTGAAAATTTAAGATAAAAATCAAACAATGAGTATAATCAAAGAGCTAAAATTGAAATTCACTAAGGTTTCAACTGTGAGCCACAAAAATTCATGCCCTGACCTCTGATGGCAGATTTTAGGTTTTTTGGGGTCAAATTTTTAAAAGGAAGATTATGTTCAATAGAACAAGACATTACCTATAGATTTTATCATCATTTTATGAGAAACTTATAATCTAGTTTTAGCTTTTTTACATACTCAAGTCCGCATGGTTAATTATCTCTCTCGATGACGAGAGAAAACTTAAAATTAAAACTAGACCTTAAATAGGCTCTAAATTCAAAGTGTATAATTGCAATTAATTTGATATCGGAATTTAAAATTTACCGTCCTACACAAAGTGGATGGAGATGGGAATTATGATGAATCCGATCTCATAGTTCCATCATGTTGGGTTATCATATTCTCTAATCTACTTAGAAGAATTACTCGACTCAACCTAATCAAAAGATCCTTATGATAGCCTAGGTTACTTCATCTAAGATGATCATATAAACTTGGGAACATATATGATTCACTACATAAAAATATTCAATTATTAGAAAATTTGTAGGGCCTGGCAGTAAGTGTAATTTAATTGTCATTTTATTACAAAGTTACCTAATTAGAGGGTCTCAATCATAACAATTTATATGTTTAATTATTTATCTATTATGTCATTAACAACAAAACCATAATTTTAGTTATTCAGGAACTCGCAGGCTTTGGTCATAACTATAATTGAATGGAGTCATTTTGCAATGAAACCACATGATTAGAGAACCCCGATCATAATTGTTTATTAGTGATTTCATTTGAGAATGAATCATAACAATTCACTCAACAAAAATATTAACCATTTATGAGTTAAGATTATTATCAAATTTATCACCCTCAAAACATAATTATCGAGGATAAATGGATTTTTTTACTTCAAGTTATAAGAGGTAAATTTTACATGAAATAATTTTAAGTTTTAAGAACTTGGAGATTTTAGACTTATTTGGACCTGTTAGTACAATCTAGGAGGGAAATCATATGGATTTGCAATCGTTGATGACTATACTAGATTCACCTAGGTTAGATTCCTAACATAAAAGAGTGAATCATCAGAAAAATTTAGAACTTTCTCCACCTAGATATAAAGAAAGTTAAGATATAAAATATCAACCATTTATAGTGATCATGATGGAGAGTTTGAGAAAGATAAATTTGAATACTTTTGTTAAGAGATAGGGATAAAGCATAACTTTTCTACCTCTAGGATCCGTTAGCAAAATGAAATAGCTGAAAGAAAGAAAATAACTTTAGTAGAAGCTACTAAGACTATGTTAGCTGAATATTCTCTGCCTACATACTTTTTGGCAGAAGCAGTAAATACTGCTTGTTATGTTTTAAATAGGGTGAATGTTAGATCCACGTTAAATAAAACACCTTATGAGCTCTTTAAGGGTAAGACACTCAACCTTTCCCAATTGCGTATCTTTGGATATAAATGTTTTATCCTGATCAATGGAAAATCACCTCTAGGAAAAATTGATTTCAAATCCGATGAATAAGTCTTGATCAACAGTTAAAATTGTATTTTTAATAGTTCATCATCTATTGTATTTGCTCTCTCATCTTATTCTTTATAGTTTCTATGTAAGATTGCATTTTTATTTTTAAGCTTTCACTGATACTAATTTTTGAATGTACTCATATTTCTCTTTTGATTCTTTTCTTTTTCTTTTCCTTTTCTTTTGAGAACAATTTTATAGTTTTTTTTTTTCTTTTGTGGAGTACATAATTAATGGTTTTGAATATCAGCTTCTGTTTAAACTTTCATATAATCTTAATATTTTAATATAAGGGCTTGACGACATTACTAAGTTTATCTTCAGGTTAGCTATGATTTCATATTTTAATCTACTCATATCTAATTTTTAGTACTAATTATTCATCTTTCAATTTAAAAGTTAATTTAATAAATGTATAGTCTATAAATTCAAATAAGAATAATAACTTAAATGATTGAATGAGTTAAATATTAGTTTTTCCAACTTATGAAATATAAAAAAAGTTTATTCAAACTAGGATCTATGGTTTTATTATTATCCTAATTTTACATAATTTTTAATTATCATTTTTATAACAGTTAATTAAATAATCAAAATATAAAAGTAATTAGAGGAAAATATCAATTTAAGCACGATGAGAATTTGTCAATATATAAATAAACATATAAACAAACACTACAAATATATGCTTTCATAAGAATGATAAAAGATGCATAAAACCTATGTTGAATACAAAATGACATAACATTTATAACATAACTCAAAGTTTGGGGAAGTTGTAAGACCTCGTTAAACTATCCCTTAGCGCAAAAAGGAAAGTGAATTGGTACTTTAGAAAAGAATAACACAAAATCTCCTTTTTTTTGTTTTATACAATATAACAACTTTTAAAGATATCTTCTAGTCTACTAACTAGCACAAACGGAAGAAATTTAAAACTTAATTTCTTTTTCAAAGTTTTGAAGCAAAAATAAATTAAGAGTAATATATAATTTTTTTCTAATACAAATTAAATCTAACGGCAACTTGCAATAAAAAATTAAACTGATGTAGGAAATTTAAAGTGCAGAAATTAAAAAAAAAAATAAAAGGAAAAATCAGAAAGAGCACACCATAAATTTTATAGTGGACGTCCACTCCCTAGAGTCCTCTTCGGGTATTTCACTAACATTATAGTGACTCTCCTTTTGCCCCCACGATAAGGGAGAACCATGTACAAATCACTTCAACCAAATCCGGTGCGGCGGATAACCGAAGCAATGTCACCCTCCTGGTGATGGCACTGAACATTCAATCATTTATCACCCTCCTGGTGAAGGTAAAGAACCGATGAAATCTTTTTTACCCTCCTGGTGATGGTAGAGAACCTTCAATGTTTTTTTACTCTCTTGGTGAAGCCAGAGAACCCAAGACCCTGACTTTGAAGCTTCTCTCACAAGAACAACTCGAAGAACTCACCAAGGCCACTAGAGGAAGCAAGGTGCAAGCTTGTCTGGAGAAATCGTATGAACACCCCTCACACTCCTCCCTCACGCACAACCTCACATTCTTCCTCTCTATGCCCAAACCTCTCTCAAGAATTCTCCCTCAGAGTTCCTTCAATAGCCAAAAGTCTTACTAGAGACTTGATTGAGTTGCTTAAGTACAAAAATTCAAAAAACCTTAAATATTTAATTAGGTCGTCGTTGTTCGTACAGTACAATCTGGGTTCGTACAATACAATTAGTTCAAAATAGGGGTTCGTCTAATACGATGGAATAGTTGTTCAGACGAACTATTTAAATTCTGCATACTTATTATACAGTATGATCGTAAGTTTGCATAGTACCATTATTTCAATTTTCTTTTATTTGTACAAGAAGATTATTAGGACGATTAAAAATCATCTCTATCGATCTTCTGGTACGATTAACATCGTACAATACATTTAGTTCAAATATTAAGCATTTGTACAGTATGATCGACATCGTACTATACGAAAAGTCCAAAAATCAAGGTTTTCATCCAATACGATATCCGAGACAACCAAATTTCATCTGTCTATCATATGGTACGATCTACATTGTACAGTACGATTAACCATATTTATTAAACCTTAATTTAATTAACTAATCATGGAAAATAATTTAAGCAAGATTTCAAATACCATACAATATGATTAGAATCGTGCAGTATGATTAGATCAAAAATCAATTTTTAAAATACTTAAATTATTTGGTGGCTAGAATTTCTTGAATAATATAGTACGATCTACATCGTATAGTCTCGATTAGTTCATAAGCATTAATTACATAATTACCCGTTAACCCTCTTTTTCTAAATGACTGATAGTACATTAGGGTTATAATCGTACAGCATGATTTGTTACAAAAATCTCAGCTCACTTTTCTCACTCCACTGTGTGCACACGATTACCAATTTAGCATACAACCTTACATGGCCAGACTCAAGAAATATAAAATAAAGAAAAATGAAAACATAAATACACTTTTAAAAGACATCCTATTCTACCCAAACTTTAGCCTTGATTAATTTTTAGTAGTGTATGATGTACCTAAAACGTTAGTATACACACAAAATAATATCCAATATATATGATAGAAGAAATAAAATTTCAATCAATAATATTTGTTATCACTAAAATCACAAGTTAGGGATCCTTGATTGTAATAATAACGAGTACTAGCATAACACATACATGCGTTGCCTCTCAGAAACATTAAGTTTAGTCTTCAATCAAACTATAAATGTAAATGCAAAATGAAAAAAAAAAAACATAAAAATGTAACACAAAAAATAAAAAAAAATCATTTTTTCTCTCTCTCTCAAGCCTACCCCTCAAAATCGGGGACTTCCTTATCGTCTTCCTCATCTTCATCTCTCTCTAGGCTGCCAAATAAAAGATCGGTACTCAGGTGTAGAAGGAAATATTGCTCGTCTTTCAAAAAATGAAATGTTTCTGAACACTCCAACAAGAGACTCATTAAAATTAGAAGTGTACTAGTAGTATTTATCTTATTGATCCATAATATAAGCCATCTGCATTTTCACCTCAAATTTCCAGTCTCGTGAATCTTTACAAAATTGAGTTACCTTCTCCATTTTTTCACTCAAGTCTGCCAC